CCCTGTGTGTCCCTTCGCCCCCTGCTGGAGGGGCCGGACCCTGCACCGTGTGGGTCCCTGCGCCCCCTGCTGGAGGGGCCGGACCCTGCACCGTGTGGGTCCCTGTGCCCCCTGCTGGAAGGGACAAGCCCTGCACTCTGTGTGTGTGTGTGTGTGTGTATGTGTGTGTGTGTCCCTGACGCCCCCTGCTGGAGGGGCCGGGCCCTGCACCGTGTGGGTCCCTGTGCCCCCTGCTGGAGGGGCCGGGTCCTGCGCTGTGTGTGTGTGTGTGTGTGTGTGTGTGTCCCTGGCGCCCCCCGCTGGAGGGGATGGGTCCTGCGCCGCGTGGGTCCCTGATCCAGGGCCCTCTCACCTCCTTGAGGTTCTCGTACTTGGCGGTGGCCAGGGCGGAGCGGAACATCTCGGCCACGGCGTGGAACAGGAACTCGTACTGCTCCTGCCAGACAGAGGGGACACGGCCGTGTTAGGGGAGTGGGGGCTCCCAGCGGCCCCAGCCCCACCTCTCCCAGCAGGGGGCGCGGTGTGGGCGTCCGGCAAGGGGAGAACCAGGGGGCTCACCAGCGTCTGGACGGCCGACGGTCTCTGCTTTCTCATCGCTAGGACGATGTCGAAAATGCTGAAATTCGGGGGGATGCTCTGAAAAACAGGAGAAGGCTCGCGAGTCCGGCAGGGGGCAGCCGCGGGTCGGACGCACGCCTACACACATGGACACGCGCGGTACCTGTTGGAGGAGGAGGTGTCTCACGTGCTCCAGGATGCAGATCACGCCAGTCCGGCCACAGCCAGCGCTGCCGGGGGGGGAGGAAGCAGGAAGGAAATGGGTGAAGAAGAATCCGCTACCACCGCCTCAAATCAAATCCCTCTCGGGGGCAAAGGGGCCCTTCACCCCACACACTGCCTGTGGGCGTTCACTCTGAAACCTAACAACTACAGTTTCAACCTTCACGCATCTCTGGTGGGTGTTAACTCTGAGCCCTAATGAATGGAGCGATGATGCGGAACCTCTGGGGTACGTTCACTCTGAACCCTAATGGCTACGGCTACAACCTTCGTGCATCGCCAGTGCACGTTCACTCTGAAACCTAATGACCATCTGTGGTAGGCGTTTACTCTGAACTCTGACGGACGGTTAAATGGGGCATCCTGGGTGTCGACAGTGGGATGTTTACCCCAAACCGTAAGGCCTGGGTGAACAACGGGGTGTCATCACACTGGGTATTTGCCCTGGACTTTAATGATGGGTTTCAGCAGACATCATCCACCCAGATGGCTGGATTGTTCACTCTGAAGCCTAATGACTGGCGTTTCACTAAGGTCATGGTTTGTCTCAGCATGGCTATTAGCGGTGAACCCCAATAATTATGTTTTTAAAAGGGGCTATAGCTCATCTCAACAAGGCCGTTAACTCTGAAGCCTAATGATTGTCTTTCAAATGGGGACATAGGTCATTTCAGTATGACCATGACTTCTGAAATATAACAACTGGGATTGAAATAGGGACACCTTGACATGGCCGTTCACGCTGGATCCTAAAACTTGAGGTTTAAATGCGGGTGTGGCGTGTCGAACCGCGACTGTTAACTCGGAACCCTAATGTTTGGTGTTAAATGGGGACTTGATTTGTTTTGACATCGGTGTTAACTCTGGATGCTAATGATCGTTGTTTGAGTGGGACTCTGCCCATCTCTGTGCGTTTACTCTGAACCCTACCGCTGGCCATTCAACGACTGCTCTGCGCCACTTCTGAGGTTGCAGAAAAGGGGCGGAGCTCACGGCAGGGGGAGGCAGTCAGAGGATGGGGTTTGGATTGTGGGAGGGGTTTATTTGAGGGCGTGGCTTAATTTTTTCTAGCAGACCCCTGGGTATGAAGACTGCGTTCTCTCTCCATCCCGGGTGAGGGGCTAATGAGGCCCCACTGGGCCCTCCCTCCACTCATCCGCTGCTGAGCTCTCCACCCCCCCCACAGCACAGCACAGTGCCCCCTACCTGCAGTGCACGCAGATGGGGGCTGAGTCGTCCCCCTGTTTCAATCGCACGTGGTCGATCATCTCCAGGAAATGGCTGTAATTGTCGGGGATCCCGCGGTCCGGCCAGGCCACGTACTGGAAATGGGTGAGGGGCCGCTCCTCCTGGGGAGGGAACGGCTGGCATCAGCCCTGTTCCCCATGGCACGGCACCCCCAGCACCTGGTCCTGCCGGGGGAGAGCACCCCCTGCCCAGCTCCCGGCCCTGC